TTGTGCCCGGGCAGAGCCTGGGCGCGAGCCAGCCGTTAGGTGCATGAAGAAAATGAGTTCTCCACGTGCTGGGAGAAGGGAGGAAAAGCAAGCTTTCCCGCCCGACCCCGCTGCAGACAGGCTGGATTTCACCCACGTCTCCCCGCAGCAGCCGCCGAGGGGCCGGGAGCTGCACGGCCGCACATCCTCCCGGGAGTAACGGGGCTGGTGACGACAGAGAGCTGGTCGGTCCCACATCCCGGGTGAGAAGAGCCCAGCCAACACATCGGACCATGGGGGCGGCTCACGGGAAAAAGGTAACAGGACGGTTTTATCCAGGGCTGCTGAAGCGGTGGCGGGATGATGAAGAAGGCACCATCTGCTCACATGGTGTTTGTTTTGCTCTGCGTGTGCTAAGGCGGCTGATGGCAGCGAGGGATTAGAGGGAACGGTCCCTCTCCTGGCTGTGGGTGTCACTCGTCAGGGACGGATTAAGTAATTCCACCTGATGGGCTCATCATCAGGGCCTGCTGTGGCTTTCAGGACAGCAAGGAGGGGACCAAAGTGTTGCATTAGGACGGGCAAAGTTTGGCTTTCTGGCGAGAGGCGTCAGGCTTGCTCCGAGCGCATGCAGCAGCCTGCAGGCTGTCTCCCACAGATGTGGTGCAGAGCGAGTCCCAAGCACTTCTTGGCCTGTTAACTGCTGCCACCTCCCTTGTGGGATGGGGAGGAACAGGACCACATCCCACGGCACCCACATGCATCTCTGTCTCTCCAAATCCCACCGGGAGAGCAAATGGCTCTGAAAGGAAACGGGGCTTCACAAAGTCAGGGGCATGTGGAGCCAGCTGGAGATGGCTGTGCTGAGCATGCTGTTGGATGTCATAATGCTTTCATGTCTGATGACATCAGCACCTAGGGATACATCATCACTGTTCAGTTGTGATGCCCTTATCCAGTATTAGACTCCTGTAGCTTATCTCCTAAGATAAATGCTCCACTCGTGCACCACATCAGGTCAGTAACTTCTATTGCAACGGGGTCAGCAGCAGCCCTTTCCTGCAGGAGGGTCCCTGCATGCTCAGCTGAGCATGCTCTGTGGGCACATCCAGACCAGGTGCCTTTCAGAAGCCTACAGACCTGCTGGACTTTCTTCCAAAACCAGAGCAGGGGAAACATCCATAAAAACAACTCACTGGCCAGTGCTACCAACACCAAGAAGGGACATCAGGGCTGACGTAGGACTAGTAAACATTTACCTGTTTTCCTGGACCTCAGAGAAGTGCCAGGTACAGGAGGTGCTGCTCCCAGCCAGCCCCCTGCTTCTCCGACACCCGTCCTTGGTGCCGATGCCACGCAGGCTCCAGCGCATCAGGGAGCCATGGTCATTCCTGGGGCTCTGGGCTCCAACGGCACTCCTGGGAGGAGCCGTGCTCTGCCCACAGCTAATCCCCAGACCTTTGCTCACGTGGCCATGACCTTCAGGCCTTGGCGCGTTTGTACAGGCATTACTGAAAGCAGAGAAATAAGCTGGTTAGGTCAGGCTTGGCTCAGCGCCACGCAGTTCAACCCCGCTGCATACAAAGCAATCTATGCTGGCCTCCTGACCAGCAGACCGGATGGATTTCGGACAGGTTTCCCCCTTCCTCCCTCTTTCCTAAACACCACGATCCCACCGCAGCCTGGCATTGAATGGCCTGGCTTTGAAACGCTCCCGGGAGCTCTGGCTCTGCCGTCGCACCAGCTTGCTGGCAGCTCCTAAAAGATCTGAGACAGTTTTGCTTTCATGGGCACCAAAAGGTCAGAGATTTCATTCCCGTTTCAGCCTTCCAAACACCGCCTGGGTTGACAAAAGCCTGTGCCACTGCCCAGCTGGCACTGAGCAGGGACGTCTGCCTGGAAGCTCCTGGGTCAGGGTTGGTGGGGGATGGAAACAAGAAAGCTCCTCCTGCATTTCCAGGGTGGGCATGAACAGCAGGCTCCAGCTTTCCCCGACCAGGTCTGTCTGACAGGCAGGAAAGCTC